TTCCCTGGCACCTCCATGTAAAGCAGAAAAGAGCTGCCTGAGGCCTAATGTAGGATGCCAAACTGATGGAGAACTAGCGAAAAAAGAGAACTGACATAGAAAGCAGAAGCTACATGAGAGTGAAGAGGTCACAAGGGACTTTCACATGCACCAGCTGATCTCATCTTCAAACAACCCAAGAGACAGAAGGTGCTCCTTTCTATAAAGGTTTATATGTTCCCTTTCCTTAAGTGAACATTCATGGGGAAAGGCAGGACCAACCACCTCATTTCTGAGTTGTGGTACAAGATTAAAATGCAGGCCCCTTGTTCTAAATGTAGGAAGAATTTCTAGCTGGTGACAAGAAATCATGAAACCTGCTGAAGAGCCTGTCTTGAGGGGGAGCTGTCAAATTCATAGCTGTGTGGCCACAAAAACCAGCCCCAGGGCTGGGGATTTAGCTCAGTGGCCCTGCACTTGCCTTGCAAGCGTAAGGTCCTGAGTTTGACCCCTGATACCGGAAGGAAAAAAATAGCCCCAGAGAGAATGTGTGATCTTCTGAAACATTTTAGATACAATATTTATCGTGTCCATTCTTCTACTGCACTCATAATCACATCATCACAATATTATTAAGCATCTTCACATTCAAATCTCAGGAGGAGATTCTGTAGCTGTTTAAAAATACATTTTACTGCATCAGGAAAGTTCTCTAGATACTATCTATCTCTCTACTGAAATCCCCCAAATCTCTTATCTCACACCCAGGAATATCAGAAAATACCTTTCCACCGCGCCCTGTAAGCTGTCCCTTTTATATGCCTGAATGTCATCTTGCGCCATCTGTATAAAACCATAGAATAACAAAGTAAAAGTAAAAATCTAATTCATTCCAATGTTAGAACTAAAGTAACCTAACTTTTGTGGGAAGAAATCAATTTTAAAAGTAGGCCTAAAAGCAAGATGAATAAGAAAGTTATTAAAAAGCTAAATGTGTTGTAGAACTATAAGATTTTCATAATTTTATCTCAAATTTTAAGAAAAGTCTAATTAATCTTATACTCTCCTAAGATACAAGACATAAATTACCTTTAAGAAATTTAAGCAGGGTGTGCTGACACATGCCTGTAATCCCAGCACTCTGACAGGCTGAGGCAGGAGGATCACAGATTTGAGCCCAGACTGGGCAACTTAGCAACTTAGGTGAGGCCTTGTCACAAAAGGAGAGGTGTGCTGGGGATGTAGCTCAGTACAAAAGTACCATAAAAAAAATAAAAGAAATTTACATTTAGAAATTATTTTGAACACTTTTAAAAAATGTCCACACGAACTGACTCCCTCAAAAAGACAGTCCATATAATCAACATGTGGAAAAAATGTAGAACAAATGTGCACAAATATTAACAACTGAGAGATCGGGAAATAAAATTTGTGAGTTAAGCTTACAAGATCATTTACCTGTAAGATTTGCAGAACACTTTCCCCTCAAAGTTGGCTTTAATTGTTTTTCTCAGTCTGATATCACCAAAACCAAAACATAATACTAAGTATAATTTATGCTTATGGCTCTTACACAGCTAAAAAAGTAGAAACTAATTTTCTAATTATGCAAACATTGAAACCTATAATCAAATTAGCAACATTAATTAAAAGTAACAATGCTAGGGCCAGGGACTTAGCTCAGTGGCCCCGTGCCTGCCTCACAAGCACAAGGTCCTGAGTTTGATCCCCGGTACCAAAAAAGGTGACAATGCTGTTTTTAGAGTTACTAGCTGCCTGAGACCTGACCAGAGCATTCACTGCCACAACATAGACTTTTTATAGCATGTCAGCCCAGAAGAGTTCAGTGAGTGCTTTTTAACTGCATAATAAAATAACTAGGAAAAAAATAAAAATGTCCCTACCCAGATGTTATACCTTTATGGCCCACATATCTATGCAGTATAGTTAAGAATACAAAATTTTGAACTGGGGATTTAGCTCAGTGGTTCCGCCGCCTGCCTTGCAAGTGCAAGGTCCCAAGTTCAATCCCCAATACCAAAAAAAAAAAAGAATACAAAATTCTAATTTTTAAAACCCAATCTGAGGTTAATTTTAATTTTACATTCTGTTGTAAACATTTATAGCCTACATTTCTGAGTTAACTAAACAACTGTAGCTGTAAAAAACAATACCTATAAAACCGTTTTTTCTTCAGTAGGAAGAAATAGTGTAGGTCTGTGGAACGAAGGACCTCTTAATACAGAAATGGTTTGATACTTCATCCCTAACCTAAAACACCCTTCAATCAATAAACAAATTCCTAAGAAGTCACCACGTTCAATAACTTCAGAATAAGCAGGCAGGAACCACTAACACATAACCCGCTACATCTGGGAAGAAGGATACAAAAAAGCGAGGATAGAATCAGTTCCCATTGCATGACATCAAAATGCCAAAAATGGCCTAGAAAATATGTATAATTTGGCAAAATGGAAGTTACACTTGTAATGGAATGTGGACGCTGCTTTTCTCTGCTCTTGGAATTGATTTATTCCACTTCTCTCATTCACACTACATAATCTCACTCGGAGGCACAAAGTAGCCAGCCAGGGAAGTGCCCTCGTGCCTTTCCACACCTGCTGATGCACTTCCCCCGTGCACCAGAATAATAATAATGTTGTGATTGACACAATTTAAAAGAGAGAGAAACAGCTGTTTTTGCTCATGCAATCTTCAAGTTTCAGTGGTAATGTTTATAGCGAAAAATAATCTCCAAGCATCTACAGAGTCATAAACTGAGACCAAAACCTGCAATCCAAAACTTCGTCCTCTAGACCGTGGGGCAGGGCGACAGAAATTGTGCATCATCAAAAGGCTTCTGCTACCTTTTAAAACTGTTGATCTGATTTTTTTTCTTTTTTGCATTTAAAAGCCTGAGTAGCCTCCCCAAACACTCCTTCACTGTTAGCAGACAATTCCTATCCCAGGAATGGAGTGATCCAAGCTCATGTCTAGAAAACTTTGAACCAAGGGCCTTGGACCATATCTTCCTATTGTCTTCTCATTGTTAGCAGAAAGTCTGGATAACCAATACTATAAGGACAATTATGCTCATGGTAGTTGTCAATGCTACAGGTATTATATTATTTCTCATTCTCAGAACTCCATGAAATACTCCTATCAGTTAACAAATCAGTAAACTGGAGAGCTGGTGGGGGTATAGCTCAGTGGTACTGCACTTGCCTAATATGTGTGAGATCTGGGTTTGATCCCCAGTATTACAAAACAAAACAAAAAAATAAACAACGAACTGGGCCTCAGAGAAGGTTCTAGCTATTTATTTGCAAAGACCATAATCAGTGAGTGGGAGTTTTCCATCTTGTCTCCTGTATCTGATTAACTTTGAGGGACTCTAACTTTAGAAAAATATAACTTACTTTTTTCTCTGATAATGTTGACGATTCAGCTTTTTCTTCAGCCTTCCCATTTTATGTAAAGCAGATAAACATATGCCTGGCTGAAGTGGGCTGGGGGACCTGAACAAGTAACCCTCGCTTCGAATTTCCCAACACATTCACTGAAGCTCAACTTAGAGTCTAACTCGAGCACCTCAGAACATGATCTATAGCTAATTCCTTTTCTCCCTCCTAGAATACTTACCAGTAATTCCTCTCACACATGAATGTATGGGGTCTTAAAATATATATTCTGTTACTGCATTTGTACCAAAAATATAACAAGTTTGTATTTTTGTGTACTTTTATACAAGGAAGACATATGATTGTATTTATGTTACAAAACTGAACGACACTATTGAAACACTGTCTGTAGCAAGGTTTGGCTACGTTTAACACAAGAGACAAATGTAGGGACTGACAAACCTGAATTATGGTATTTAGTCAAGTAATTCCAAATAATGTCTGAGTCTAATCACTTAACAAATATTCATTATGTGTCCACTACGTAATCTCAATGTTTTAATTCAATTATCTACCTTTTTTTTTTAACAGAAAATGTCTAGTATATAAACTTGGTCTTTAAATCATTACACTTTTTTTTTTTGATACCAGGGATCGAACTCGGGTCCTTGAGCTTGTGGAGCAGGCGGTGGAACCACTGAGCTAAATCCCTGACCCCTAAATCGTTACACTTTTGAGGCATGCAATGAATGAGATTAGTGAACAGAATATCACTTTAATTCCACTTTTAAGGTGAAGGGTTATTAAAATGACAACGGTGTATAAAATGGGAAACTTCTAATACGTGAATTAGTGATTCTATTTAAAGTGAATTCAAGGTTAATTGCAGAAGTTAACTGCACTAATTATATTTTTAAATAAAACACAAAAATAAGTATTAACAGTTACAACAAAAAAGTAACCCACAACTTTTTCTTGTTAAGTGGTAAACAGAAAATATTTTAGGTTTGTGGAGCACATAAGGTCTCTATGACATACTGCACTTTGATTACTTTTTAAACAACCCTTTAAAATGGGAAGTCTGTTTTTATTTTTGGGTTTTTTGCTGTTTTTATGGTACTGGGGATCAAACTCAGATCTTTGTGCCTGCAAGGCAGGCAGAGGAATCACTGAGCTAAATCCCTGGCCCCGAAGTCTGTTTTTAACTTGCAGGCTTTAGCAAAGATGCAGCAGACCTTGTTCTGATAGCATCATTGAACTGTAAGATGAACAGGGAGTCTGGGTGAAGAGTGTATACGAAGTTGTACTGTTTCATAGCTCTAAGTATGAAATTGTTCCAAAACGAAGTTAAAGAGTCAAAGAAAGGTTAAACACAAAGCAAATCCTGATCAGACAACTCCCATGTCAAACAAACTACTATGTAACAATAAATATTGACACTTCCTCTCTTCCCCTCCCATCCCAGAGTCCTTCAGGAGTCAGCTCCTACGCACACTTCAGTTCTCACCTCGAGCATCACTTCCTCAAGCAATCTTGCCCCACTGTCGCCCTGCCACACCCCTACTTCACACTCAAGCAGTCTGTACCTTCCTTCCTAACAAAAATGGCCATGATACTTACATACTTAATGAGGTTATCAGTCATTTAATGTCTGTCTCATCTCCTAGAACAGGATGGCAGGAATCACTGGCCATCTTCAATGCTGGATTTCAACATTGAGCTCAGGGTTATGCACATAGGAAATGCTCGGTGTTGTAAGAGATGATGGATAGATGGGGTGAGCAGACCTCTTTGGTGTGGAGCTAATAAAAAGAGCTATGGCAAAGAGACAGATTTCAGAGGTGAACTAAAAAGTAAGACTTTTCAATGTAAGAAATAACTTGCTAAGAATTATACTGTCCAAGGACAAAATCAGCAACTTTCTAAGCCTGTACAGAAGTTGATTTTCAAAAAGGCTAAAGATTCAAAGAAATAGGTTAGACTCATATTTAATTTTATATGCTGGTTAATTCTATTCATAAGCAGGTACAGGACACTCATACTAATTAGTAAATTAACAGAATCATGACTAAATCTAAGGATATTTTATAAAATGGCCACCATTAAATAAAGAGCAACATGACTAAAAACATTATTAACAAAATTAATAATATCAGAGAAACAAACATCCACTTACTGGGGCCTTTCAAAGGGTAAGCATAATGAAAATATGAATCGATTCTGTTATATACAAAAAATGATAATTATTGCAAGTAAACTATCCTACCAATATTAATGATCTATTCAATTTAATCTGTGTTAAGAAGTTAATTTACAACTTATCCTATGACCAAGATATTTATATTGAAACAAAAGAAAATTATAACATGCTTATTCATATCATTCAGAGCTAATAGCAGATTATAAAGCAGTAAGTGATATAACACACAGAAAGTAAATGCTATTTAGAAACAAATCAAAACTTAAGTACGTAATATGCCTACCCTGATTATACAAGGAAAGCTGAACACCCACTGGTATTTGACTTGGAGACATCTTCCTGGTGAGCAACTAAAATAACAGCCAGGTCTCTTCCCATGTGCCTCTTGAGGCATAATCCTTTAACAAAAGTAAATCAGTGTTTGTTTGTTTGTTTGTTTTAAAAAAACACCATTTACCCTAATTTTCCCCCTAAGAAGTCATGTTATGTTCTATCAATTATATCATAAAATAATCCTGTAAAATATTTTAATAAAGGCTGAACTAATAATAAACATGTTGAGGGGAATTAGTTTCTCAACACAAAAAAATATTATAATACAATTTTTTTTGTATTGTCACTAAGAAGCCAGGTCCTGATGCAAAGAGGAACTCGCTACTCATTTCCTTGGTTCTTCATTCTTTGTGACCTTGATGAAAAATTTTACTCAAGACACAAGGGAGCCATGCAGAAGTATAGATAGAGTTTACTGTAAAGTAAATATAGGAAGAGTTATGCCTTTGAGCAAGAAGGTGGTCCATGCCACGAAGGCAATGAAGACCTAAGGAGACCAACAACTTCTGCTCCCACTCAACAGTGACAAGGACTCCCTATCCCAGCCCAACATGTAGAGTATCAATGGCCAAGTATCAAGGGCCAACTATGACACCTGGACTGCCACCTCTACCTGGCAGTAATGAGGTAGGGATGCTTTTCCCTACTAGAGTGGTGGAGAAAAAAAAAGCCAATAAAAATACAAGGTTTTAATCCAGAGTCCCATAACAGAATATAAAAATGTCCATGTTTTAATTGAAAATCATTCATCATAGGAAGAAACCAGAGAACACCCAAATAGAGTGAAAATGGCAATTGATATGTAGATGTAAATACTGAAATTACAAAAAGTTTAGATTCATCTGACAATGAATTTAAAAACAGCCATGATAAAGATGCTTCTATGAATAACTGTAAACACACTCAAAACAAATGCAAATATATAAACCTTCAGAAGAAATAGAACAGCAAAGAAATAGAACAATAAACAGCCAAATGGAAGTATGATAAAGGAAAAATATAATTGAAATTAAAAACTCAGGGGTGGACTCAACAGAAGAATGGTAGAGGAAAGTTTCAATGACTCAGAAGATGAAACGAGAAATTGTCCAGTTTGAGCAGATGGGAGCAAGAGATGAAAAAGAATGAAAGAATGTAATCATTATGTACTGCAACATGTACTGATATAACAATAATAATTGAAAAAAGAAACAACAGATATTTTCCATTTTGACTTACAAAGAGAAAATAAACTTTGAAAAACATTAACAGAGCCTCAGGGAAAAGGGACCATGACAGTAAAGAGTTAAGTCAGATTCATGTGACTGAAGAATGACCCTGACATGTGCCTGCTCCTGGGAGGACTAGCTAGCTCCCTGGATCAGTAGATATTGATATAGAACGGAACATCTTGAGGATGGAATTTGACCCCAGCTCCTAGCCAAGATCCGGGAAGTGGAAACATTGCACTTTTACGTATGCCTATTGGCACAGGGCCACCTTTGTCTCACATGGTATAAAAGTAACAGCAGCGGCAGTGAAAGAGAGACAGAGCTGCTGCGTTGAACTTCTTTCCAAGTTCTGTCCCAGAACAGAACCTCCTGTGGCGAATGTTGTTTCCCGATCTGGTGATATATTGCACCCTGTGTTTGACTTTCTATTTCCATGTGTTTTCTTGATCTTTTCCTTCATTCTATTAAATTATCTATTTCAACCCTTGGAGCGGTTTGTAGTGGCTTTTTTCACAGATAGAGCCCCAAAATCTGATTAAAGGTGCACCTCTGTTGGCAAATTTACCTTGTTAACACACAGTGACCGTGAGAGTTCATGTTATTAGAGTCTTGAAGGGAGAGAAGAAAAAGGGCAGGGCTACAAAAGTACATGAAGAAACAGTGGTTGAAAACTCTCCAAATGTTGGCAGAGATGTAAACCAACAGATTCAAGAGTGTGAGTGAACCTCCTTAAACACAAAGAAATCCAAGTCAGGACATATTACATTCGAACTTCTGAAAACTAAAGGAAAAGAAAAAAAAATCTTGAAAGCAATCAGAGGAAAATAACACTTACAATAACAAAAATAACAACAACAAAAAACCAATTCAAATGAAAATGGATTTCTCAAGAGAGCCCATGGGGTTAGAGGAGGTGGCAAATTTCTTTTTCAATTGCTGGAAGAAAAAAAGAACAGTTTATCTACAACCCTAAATCCAGTGAAAATATCCTTTGGGAATGAAGACGAAATCAGGGCATTCAGAGGTGAAGGAAAGCCAAGAAAATTTGTCATCAGCAAGTAAGAATGGCTAAAAGGTGTTCTCAAAGCAAAAAGGAACAATAAAATAAGGAATTTTTGAAAATCAGGAAAAAAAAAAAGAATACATTAGACCAAAGATAAATATTTCCTTCTTTTCTCGAGTTTTTAAATTATATCTGACAGTTCAAACAGAAATTATAACCATCTGATATGGTTCTAAATACATCTAGAGGGAATACTTCATAACAATTATATCATAAAAGGGAAAAGCCAAAGGAACATGAAGGGAAATATGGCTTCTATAGTTTCTTCAAGTGGTCAAAGGTTATCAATAAGCTATAACAAACTGTGTACCTTCTTTCCTCCAAAATAAGACCTAGCTGGAATATAATCAACCTTGAAAACTGGAGATGAAAAATCCCATGAAAAAAAAAAAAATGCCAGGTCCAATCAGCCTATCCTCGCCATTTGGCTGTCATTATTCTCTTGTTCCGTGGCCACTGTGTAAGGCAAGTAAAGCAAGGACAGGCTGATTGGGGCTGGCATTTTTCATCTCCAGTTTTCAAGGTTGATTATTTTCCACCTAGGTTTTAGTTTTGGGGAAACACAGTATATATAACCTAATGCCTATATCAACTACCAAAAACCTACACAAAGAGAACATATAAACATATTATAGATAAATCAAAATTAAATTCTAAAAGTTGGTCAAGTAACTCACAGGACAGCGGGAAAATAAAAACAGAAATGAAAAACTGGGAGAAAACTAAAAACAAAATGGTTTGTTAATCTCTAACATATCAATTATTACATTAAAATGCAAATAGTCAAATACATCAATTAAAAGTCAGATTGAGAGACTGACTTAAAAAGTATGGCCAGGTAGAGAGAGAGATGTACCTCGGTGGGAAAGCAATTGCCTAGTGTAGGCAAGGTCCTTGATTCAATGCTCAGTACCAAAAAAATTAATAAAAGACCAAATATATAGCCAGTGTATAATAACTCACTTCATATTTAACAATCCAGACAGGTTGAGAATAAAAAGATAAGTCATTCAAACACTAATAAAAGAAAGCAGGTATGGCTATATTAATACCAGATAAAATAGAGTTCAAAACATAAAATTACCATAAACAGAGAGAGAAACTAGGGGGAAAAGTCAACCTAACAAGAAGACATAGCAATCTTAAATATATGTGCACCAAACAACAAATTGAAAATACAGTAAGTCCCCAATTTATGAATGAGTTCCATTTGGAAAGAATGGTTTGGAAGTTGGATTTATTCGTAAGTTGACAGTGAGCCTTATACAGTACATCTGTGAAAGTTTACAACTCAAATGTTTGTAAGTTGAGGACTTACTCTTTACAGCCAGCAAAGACTGACTTAAAAAAAGAGATCAACAATTGGTTACAGACATCAATACCCCTCTTTCAACCACTAACAGGACATAAAGACAAAACATAAAAAAGACTATCTAAAAAGCCCTTTATCTACAGTACAATGAATAAATGAGATCTAATAGACATACACAAAACACTCAACAACAGTAAAACACCTATTTTTTTCCAAGTGTTCATAGTACTTAGGTCGTCTCCTAGGCCATAAAACAAACTTCAACCATGTTATAAAAAATAAAAATCAAACAACATGGAATCAAACTAGAAAGCATATAAGAGAAAGGTAATGAGAAAATATCTGAACAATTGGAAACTAAACAACACTTGAAAATAATCCTTGAGTCAAAAAGAAGTCTTATGGGAAATCAAAGGAGAAAATGATTGGAATGAAAATGAAAACAAAACCTACTCCCTTCCCTTCCTCCCTTATCCTTTTCTGCCTCCCTTAAGCCTGTCAGTGGGCTGCCTCCAGCCATCCCTGTGTGAGGCGTTCACACTTATGCATGCACATACAGACTCCACACATGCAGAGTGACAGAATCACCACAAGACCACGCACTGTGGGAAAGAGTCCCTGAAGGTGCACAGGCCTGCAGGCATGCAACCCAGGGACCTCGCAGGCAGTCCCAGGAAAGAGACAAGAAAGTTGACTACTCCATAGAAAGAGCAGCCAGCTCCACCATAGATGGAGAAGCACTCAACAAAGGACACATTCCATGTTTATGGGTCTCAAAGGAAAATCATTAATTATTCATGAGTTCTTCCCAAAAGGGACAAGGGTATCTGGACAGGGTGGAGGTTAGTTACTGTGCAGGTGTGAATTTGCACAGGATCTGAAATGTGTTTAAAAATGTGTTATGCACCCACTCTAGGTGGAAATTTTATTAGGGAAACACATTATAATGAAGGTACGATGAAGTTTGGGATCAGTTCTTAGTCAGATCTGTAGCTATCTTTGCTTGTGGTAGTCTCACCCAGTTAGCGCAAGCACCCCATATTAACAAAAGGACTATGATGGCTTGCTCACTTGATTAACATCTTGATTTACCTTCCTCTCTTATCAGGAAACTGGCAACTGCTTGCTTTCTCTCTATGAGGCTGATACTTCAAAGTCCTACCATTGTCATCTTGGTACAAAAGTAAAGGCTAATATTTTGAGGAAATACATTTTAAGAACTCAAAATCCATTCAAGGTTTAAAGGAGAAAAGTTAATTTTTTCCTAGATTAATATCAAAATAAGTCATTTTGGAAGCAGTTACTACTTTCAAGAATCTCTCCTATTGATGTCTTTAATTTCAAAAACTGTATTATATAAAACCTAGTACAATAAGCTTAGAAATTCTTCTAAATTGAACTACAATTCAGCCCATGCTCTGAATTCTTTTTATGTTTTTTATAATGGAATACCTATACTGTTTAATTACAGATTTGCTCATTAGCTCTTCTTTTGTTTGTTTGAGATAGGGGTCTTGTTCTGTTGCCCAGCTAGCCTTGAACCTCTGGCTCAAGTGTTCTTCTTAAATAACTTGAATTATAGGCAAATGCCAAAGTGCCTGGCTCCATCAAGACTTTTGAGTTTACAGGTGAAACTACTGTGAAAACAGTTCCCATACACAAAACTGAAGGACAACATTTTTAGCAGCATGTATTCATTTATTAAAGACTTTACTGCTATATAATTCACATACTAAAAATTCATTCCTTCATATTATACAACTTCAAAGGTTTTTAGTACATTTATAATTATGTAATAATCACCACAATAATTTTAGAATATTTTCAACAAATCCAAAATAAATTCTGTACCCATTAGCTATTGCTTCCCTTTCTTTACCTTCTACAATTCCAGCTTCATAAACTATCAGACTACCCTCTGGCTCTGTAGATTTACTTATTCTGGACACTGTATACAAATAGTCATACAATATGTGGTCTTTTGCGGCTGTCTACTACCACTTATCATACTGTTTTCAAAATTCATCATGTGGTGACATGTATCAGCGCTATATCTTTTTTTATGGCTGAATAATAGTCCACTGTATGGATGGATATATACCTCATTTAGTTTACCCACTCATCAGTTAATGGACAGTTTAGGGCTATTACGAAGAACTCAACTATCAACATTTCCATACATGTTTTTGTGTTGATCATGCCCTTAACTTTTAACCCCATAAGGCAAAAAAGTCAAATAGAAGAACTCTTATAGTTAGAGTGAAATTATACAAAATTTGTTTGGAATAATTTTAGATGTTTCAAGATTTAACTGTTTCCATATATAACACCAAGAAGGCTAATCCTGACAGGGAAACTGGCATCCTCACACTGTCACAAATTTAGAAATCTCTGAAGACTACATGTACCCTAAGATCCCACTAAGATAACAACTTACTATCTCTGTTGCCTCACTTTGAATAGAAAAGTAAAGACTGGGTTGCAGACATTGCATCGAGAATGACTATGCTTGTGAGATTGGACCTTGGACAGAAGTCATATGCCGAGTGTGACATGCTGAGCTACCTACCCTCCAGTTCCCCATTCTGGTCTAATGTTCTTGGCTTTGTCAGCAATTCCTGCCTGTGTTTTGCCTGTCAGGTTATTACCTCTGCAGCTTTTTATGCCTATGCTTAGTGAATGCTTGTGAATACATGAGCCATAAGACTTCCATCAGTACTGTATCCGTGAGGCTGAGGCCAAAATAAGATTATGACTTAGATGCATTCTCATTTATGAATTGATGGCGTATTTCTCCAATGATCAAAGCGCTTGGAATCTCAACTTATTCCCAAGGCTCTCTCATCAGATAGCATGGTATTATATTAACACAAGATCATTCACTGGATTTAATAATAGGGTGAGATTCAGAGGCATAGGAAGCACATTCTAAAGATTAGAATCATTGAGCAGTTTTAACTAAGGTTTAACTGACTGATTACTTCTTTGCTTTGTATTTCAGAATGATCTTGCTTTGCACTTTTGTATTTAATTTCACTGAAATTCAATGAGGTTTTCTGTGACCCCAGCATGTGGCCCACCCCCAGGAGGCTGAATCACAATTTACTGCTGGGCGGCCCTGCCAAGCTCTGCCATTCTTTCAGAGGAGGGTTTCCCTGGGAAGCCAGCTTTTTGAGATAGTTGCAGGGCTCCAGTTGGGGAATATCAGGATTCTGCTGGTAATACTTCTGCAGCTTCTCCAGAACCGTGGGCAGCCCCACTGTGGAGGCATAGAACATGGGCCCGCCCCTGTGGCGCGGCCAGCCGTACCCATGCAAGTAGATCACATCAATGTGCTCTGGGCTGGCAGCCATCCCTTCTCCCAAGATGTGGAAGGCTTCGTTGATCAGTGCATACAAGCAGCGCTCCCGGATCTCATCCTGGTCAATGACCCGTGGTTTGATGTGATGGGTCTCCCTGTACTCTGACAGGAATTTGGAAAGCCAGGGGTCAGGTTTGTGAACCCTACCCAATGGCTTGTCATATAGATACCAACCCTGCCCGGTCTTCTGGCCAAACCGTCCTAAGTCACAGAGCATATCAGGAATGGGGCTGTATCTTGCATTGCCTCGTTTTCGGGCAGGAGTTCCTGGAGGCAGCGCAGGCCCAGTAAGACCTCGCCCCTTGCGAACTTTCCAGCCCACATCTAAGCCAGCAAGATCAGACATCCGAAGTGGCCCCATCTTAAGACCAAACTCTTCCAGTGCCTGATCTATGTCCTCTGGCTTACTGCCATCTTCTAACAAGAAATAAGTCTGGTTAAAATAAGGTTGCAACATTCGATTCCCAACAAATCCATAACAGTTGCCTACAACTACTGCAATCTTTTTCATCTTCTTCGATAGGTTCATAACAGTGGCAATGGTAGTGGGGGAAGAGTGTCGGCTGGGAATGACCTCTACCAACTTCATGACATGAGCTGGGGAGAAGAAATGAGTGCCGATGACCAGCTGAGGACGACTGGTGGACGCAGCAATCTCATCCACGTCCAGGGCTGAAGTATTAGTGCACAGAAATGCTTCTGGCTTGCACACAGCTGAAAGTTCAGCAAAGACCTGCTTCTTCAGGTTCATGTCCTCAAATACTGCTTCAATGACTAAATCGACACTGGCCAGCTCCTTCATAGATGAACTGAACCTAGGTTTTGGTGCTGACTCACGTTGGCCACTCTGTTGCATGCTTTTGGCTGCTTCCTTTTCCAAGGTGGAAGTCACTATCTTCTTTGCAGCTTCTAGCTGCTTTTGGTCTGATTCTACAGCAATCACAGGGATCCCGACTCTTGCAAAAGAAATGGCAATGCCTCGACCCATTGTTCCCAAGCCTGTAGGTAGAGAGTGAAGGAGAAAAAGAATGATTCAAAGTGCTGAGACCTCCAGAATCACTTACTGTGTGAAGCTTCAGTAGCAAGGTGAAATTTAAAAGGATTGATTCAAGCTGGGTGTGGTGGCACATACCTGTAATCCCAACACTTGAGAGGCTGGGGCAAGAGGATTGCTGGAAGTTTGAGGCCAGCCTGGTCTACACAGTGAGTTCAAAGCCAGCCTGCTACAAAATGAGACCTTGTCTCAAAAAGCCAAATTAAAAAAACAAAAAGATTGATTCAAGAACATGAAATGGATACTGAAATGTTCTACAGAAGACATGGGAGCAATGAAACTCTGTGATACAAAATGTTTGGCTTTCAAGTAGCAGATGTGACTGTAAATAGCAAGATAATGCCAGAGAATTCATTCCAAATACCTAGGTACAAGAGTGAGAGACAAGACCTTGAAATGTACTAGAAATAATAAACTGTTATGGGAAATTTTAGTAGTGAAAGAGCCAGAGAGTAAAGCAGTAAGGATGGATAAAATGTGCCCATAGTCTGGAGTCAGATAGTCCTAGGGTCAACATCATCACAACACTAGAGTTTCTGCCACTATTGAAATGTTTGCACCTCTAGGATTCACATATAAAATGGAGAGAGTTCATAGACTTGGATGAGAATCAACAGAGCTAAGATGAGTAATATGTTCAGCACAGAACCCGGTGCCTGCTGGCCCTGGTTTATGGCAGCACTTCACACGTGCAGATTTGGAGAATCCCACGAACCACCCCATGTGCTCACCAAGAACACCAACTGAGGAGATGGGTCGTGCAGTAGCTGTTTTCCAGGATGCCCCAGATGGGGTTGACCACTTATTTACACTTCTCTCAGCAAAGAAAGCATACTGCAGGGCTCTGGCCTGCCCAGATTCCCGAAGGTACTGAAACAGCTCCTCCTCTTTCCTGATTCCCTCTTCATAGGGGTACTTCATGGAGGCCTGGACTGAACGGACACAGGTCTCCGGAGCAAGGTACCCAGGGTACTGCTTCCGCATCTTCGCAAAGGCTTCAGTGAAAGTGTTTTCCATGTTGGACAAGCTGGGAACTGGCCTGTTGAGGATTCTGCGAGGTTCTAGAGGTTGATCTGAAAGGAGTAAGAAAGATCGGAGCTTTAATAATGTAACTTACACAGAGGGAACAGGATTCTATCTATATAGTAGCAATAGCAACTGATTCAGATGCCCATTCTCTACCACAAACTCAGTTATAAATCTTTAGTTGTGAGGCCTGAGCAAGACTGTTTTTGAAAACTTCAACAGTTGATTTTGAGCTATGGACCCTGGGAGGTTCAATAGAAGAGACTTCTGTCAGTCACTGTATCAAGGACAGCTGATGTTCCTGGACAATTTTAGGCCTGAGATTGAAAAGGGAAAGTGGGTGGGGGGAGACAGAAATGAGAATAAAATGGAAAAGTAAAGCTCGCTTAGTTGCATATACTAGTTATATCTTACCAACATAATTCTGCTATTCAGAAGTGAAACCTTGCCGACTGCATATGAGCCTTCCAGGACCACACTTGTTCAGACTAGTCCTAGCACTAAAGTCAGCATATCTAGAGCAGTTTGATCACAGCACAATCACACCTGGTCCCCCACCCCTCATTCCATTTCATATCCTTCTCTTGCTGTGGATATAATAAAAGGATGCTATTATCTTCCATCTCTGGTTTATTACCACAAAACATATGGATAATTTTCTCTTTGGGACAAAGGAACAGTTGTTTTGAAAATGTTTCTTCTGTACTTGATCATGTGGAAGTTACTGTCATCATGAATTGTTACATGTCAAGTCAACTTGAGTAAGGACCACCTAGAAGATTAGTAAAGCCCTGGGTATGTTTGTGGATGACTGACATGTAGACTGCAAATTAAGAGGGGAAGGCCCACAAAGATCCGTCTCCTCCCTAACCCCGAAAACAGTACACTGCGTCCATCCTAGAGCCCATGCAAGGACTGAGACAACAACTGCAAGTTCCCAGGTCTCAGGCATGTCACAAAGCTCAACACAGATATGCACTTAGGCCTCTTACATGAGACAGGTCACTTTGCTGTTTTGAAATATGTTCTTATAAATGTTTGCAGACAAAAATAAACTACAAAGAGCAAAAGATAAAATGAAAATTAAAAACTGAGGTGACAACTAAGATCTTTTTTAAAATCCACAAAATCCAAATGAAAAAACAGACCAAGGACAGAATTAGAATCTAATTCTTTGGGCAGAATTAGAACTGTTAAAAATGGCTAACACAGCCCAGCACGGCCACAGCAACAGGGCAGAGATTCATCACAGAGACAGAAGCAGAGCATCAGCTTCCTGACCTGAGGCCCCCAGGGGGATGTTCCCTGTGGCCATCCCTTCTGGGAAACCTGGGCGGAGAACATGGGTGCTCTTGGTTTTTGAACAGCAGCACCCAGTGCCAGCTCATCCCAGAAACCTGCACACAAGAACCGGGAGTTCTTGCCTAGTTCCGAGATAGGCAAGCTGATAGCCACAGACAAGTGCAAATGATGCATTTCACAGGACCCTCCCCTACCGGTTGTGCCAAAGCACTTTTATTTGGTCAAGTAATTCTGTGTTTCTCTGCTAAATCAACTCTTTTGCTTTGGCCTAGGAGGCTTCATATAACAAGAAAATAAAGATATATAAAGCTTCCCAGTCAACTCTCCAGGATAGTGTTAAATTTGTGGACAAATCTGAAGCGATGCCCCAAATCACATGTGTATGTCGGTGGCCTATCACACTATCTTCTCACTGATAATGTTTTCAGAAGTGTTGAATGCAACACTGACCATTAAGGATTCCCTTCCCTACCTTCTTTCCTATATAGGATACAGAAAGTAAATGTCTTAACCACCCCTCTCCTTTTAACTCAACATATGAGTGGTATGCAGGGGATGAGAATAAATTAATGGAATATTTTTACAAATGGAAAAAGAGAATTAAAATTTTTACTTTTTTGTTTTTTGGTACCAGGAATCAAACTCAGGGCCGCATGCTTGCCAGGCAGGTGCTGTGCCCCTGAGCTATATCCCTGGCCCATAAAAATTTTACATATACTTTTAAAACTGAAATATCATTCACATACCAGAGAGTTCATGTGGCTTTTCAACTAAGTATTTCATAACTGACTTACTGATATCTTTAAGATTGGAGGTAGTGTTTGCATGCCACATGGAAACAGTCAAAACCCTGAAATACTAACTCCATTCTCATCCTCATTCTTTTTACATCAGTTATTCTCTTTCTACATCAGAGTGTGACATCCAGAACATAACATCAACATCACCAGGCACTTGATAGAGATGCAAAGTCTTGGTCCCCATCCTACATGTACTGAAGCAGAAAGTAATGAGTGGGACCCCTGTAGTCTATGTTTTAAGCTGCCAAAGAGATTCAGATGCAGTGAAGATAGCAACTGTTCCAGATTGAGACAATTGTTCTATCTTCACAGAATTTTAGATTTGCATATATGTTTAATTTACTAATAATAAATCTCATAAGTTTAGTATTAATTAGAATATTACTATTTTGTATAACCTGCCCATCAAGTCAATACATTGATTTTGTTTGGAAGATGACAACATACCAATAGCTATATTTAAACACAAACAAAGAAAAAAAATATATCAGGGAAGCGTAGAAGAGGTGGGGAGGGTGGTTCATGCCTTTAATTCTAGCACTCTGGGATGCTGAGGCAGGAAGATCACAAAGTTGATCCCAGCCTGGGCAACAGGGAGTCATAGTCTCAAAATAAAAAGGGCTAGGGATGTAGTTTAGTACAGAAGTCCGCAGTATCCTAGATAGACTGATAGGGCACACGATCTCAAATGAAAAAGGAAAAATAAGCATAGCTAACAAATGCATTTGGTGAGATAATAGATGGGAAGTAAAGATCAAATTCTCTGAGCCAGTCCTTTGTTGATCTGCCCTATTTCTCTTCCTTACATCTGTAGCAGTTGTCTATGACAAAGCAGCACCAAGAAATCACAGAACTTCAATTAGTGGTACTCATTAAAAAAGACAGTACAGGTCTTACAGTTTTCCATGGGATTCCAACAACTAAATCCTAAAACAGACACAGTGGAGTTGCTTGGGTTGTACAAGGACCAAACACTGTAGCCTATGTGTTCTCAGAATATGGTTAGAAACTAACTAATTTTGTAAAAGCTTTTCCTTTTATGGATAAATATGATAAAGTTCCAAAAGAATATTGGTTGTGGTTGAGGTGGCTTCTAAAATGGAAGTTTTAATGTCTGAATGGAATTGGTTTATTGAGATTTAACATCTTTGGGGTAACTAATTCCCTAAAATTAGATATTTGAGTTGTTTTTAATATTTTACAATGATAAAGCTTCAGTGATCATTACTATACTCAGGTCTTTGTACTTCAGTCGTTATTTCTGTACAGTAAATTACCAAGAATAGAAACATTATGTCAAAAATTATAAAAACTTTTAAACCTCAATACGTGATTTCCTAATTGTCCTCTAGACAAGATGGATTAAAAGCAGTGTACTGAAAGTCACTTAAATTTAAATTCAACTTTACCACATTATTTTCCTTTGCCAAAATGAGTGACTTTTGGGGCTGGGGATTTAGCTCAGCGGTTCCGGCACCTGCCATGCTTGCACAAGGTTCTAAGTTCGATCTCCGGTACCAAAAAACAAACAACAACAACAACAAAAAAACTAGTGACTTTTAAATCACTAATGTTTTTTCATCGATCAAGTTTAAAAGTATTTCAGAGTTAAGTATATACTTCTTTTACATCCCAGCAATACCATTCTCAGGTATTTATTTAAGAGAAAGGATTATATATGACTATAAAACCAGTGAAGGTCCAAAGTAGAAATACATAGTGTCCATCAACTGATAAATAAAGAAATTGGGGTTTACCCCTACTATGGGATACATTTCTGTACTAAAAAGTAACCTAACTTTGAAACATACAACAACATGGGTGAATTTCAAAAACATTATGCTAAATGAAAGAAACCAGACAGAAAAGACAGCATACCAGTATTATACGTATGATTCCATCCATATGAAATGTTAGAAAAACATGAAACTATAATGACAGAATGCAGGTCAATGGTTGCCTATGGCCAAAGGTAAGGTAAAGGGATCCTACTACAAAGAGGCATGAGAACACTTTGATGGGTGATTATTTGTGGCAGTGGTTACGCTACTAAAAACCATTACCAATATTCACCACTTTTCAGTGAAAATGGATGATTTTATTGTGTGTAATTACAACTCAAAGCTGAAAGGACTGCTTGATTTTAGAATCACAAACCCAATTACAATCTATAAAATAAACAAATGAATACATAATGCTGAAAAAAAAAGAAAACCAAAAGTAATTCTGAAATGTTGGAGAAAACTAACACATCATAAGCTAGTAAAAAGATCAAAACAAAAGCAAACAACGTTTATTAAATTTGGGAGAAAGCTCTCGTTCTTACATTTTTGCTTATTTCCTTTCAATTTTGTGTGTATTCCTAATAATCCATAGAGTATATCTAAATTTATTAATGCTGCTGGGGACTGAACCCGGGGCCTCTAGCATGCTACACACTCTACAACTGAGCTCTACCTCTGATCTACATCTCCAGCCTTATAAATATATATTTTAGACATTTTACATCACAAGAAATTTTGCATATCTCTACATACTTTTTATGATTTAATTTAAAATTGTTACATGTAATAATCCAAAGCCAGAACTATGAGGTGAATGTGCAAGTTTTAAAGTCAATGATGCCTTGATATTTGAATGCCACCAAGTGGACAAACTATGTAATGTTCCTGAGATTGAATATTTTATGTTTTATACATTTAAAAATGTTAATTTAATGTTTAAAATTAATTTAAAAACCAAAATAAATAAAAAATGAAACCTACACCATTTTATAAATGTACTACACTATGATCCCTATCCATTTTTTGAAGTAAATTAACTCAAATCAGAATCTGAGGACATCAGTTAAGGAAAAGAATGAGCTATCAAATTTGAGGTGTTTAAAAACTAAAATCACAGGTGCGGATGGTACACCTGGGTCTGTCTTGGGCCCCAATCCAAAGAATGCCTGAAGGACTTCAGAGGCGAACAGACTTTGCTCTGAATCACCCAAGTGACTTCTAACAAAGCAAGCAGCCCTGTCAGGAAGCACAATGATGCAGGCCTGGTGAAGGAAGAGAAAGTCATCAAGGAATCCACTAACACATGGGCAAGGACTTGCGGACTCCTTAGGAGTCACCAGTATTTTCTCCATATAGTTTCTCGCCTCTCCAGTGCAAGCATCACTATTATACTGAAACGGTAACTGACTGGACCACAGAAAAAAGACAGATGACTTGAAGAAAGGATCAGGCCTTTTTTAAGGGACTGCCTTGGAATGGATCCTGAGCCTTTGCTGCCACCAAGAAGGGGACACGCATACACTGTGTGCTGCCTGTACCCCAACACTGCTTGCAATTATTTTCTCTGGCAGTCTTTTCCTGTTCCTTCTTGTTCATTTTAAACTGACAACATCCACAGACTGAAAAGAAACAGTTTAAATTCAAACAAACAAACTCGAGTCATGCCACTACAGGAACACTTCAAGTTGAAAACATCCTAGGTCTGTGAAGTGAGAAGCCCTGGACAGTGATTTTGTAGCTGAGACAGAAGCTGCAGGGCATGGAGCAACAGAGCCTGCCTTCTACAGGCTGAAATGTGTGTGTCCTCTTCTGTTTCAAGGCTAATTCTATTTCTTAACTGGAAAATCACTCATGATAAAAAAAATTGCAAAGGCACAGAAGGGTAAACTGTGGAAAGATTCCTTCCAACTGTTTCCACTGGCTGACTGGCACCATACCAGAGCAGACAATAGTATTTCTAGTGAACCCTTACAGAAATATTTTGTGCATATACAAACAGTTACAAGTACCCATTCACCCCTGTGTACATTCTATTTCATTTTCCCTTTTTTTACCTCAACAGCAAACCAGCAAACATACAACACTTTTAAAAAATTTAGTAATATTAAAAAAAATTTAGTAATACAGAGGGGATATATATATAATATATATATACAATACATATATGGTTTATACCATAGCAATACATTTATTTTTAAGTTGTAACATAATCTATCACATAGATATGCCATAACATATTTAATGAGTTCCTTACTAAAATGGACATCTAGCTTGTTCTCAATCATGAGCTATTCATTTATTATATTCTCACCTAAAATTTTCTGGGTGAATTTGATTGCCTCTTCAAGTGAGTCTGACTTCATAACCTCATCCAAAATACCCAACTTGAGTGCTTCACCTGCCAAAATATATCTTCCTAAAACAAAATAAAACAAATTATAGAACAACATGATATAAAAATGACATTTCTTTCTCTAATAGAGCTGTCTTTCCAGGATATAAACATTTTATATTAAGTGAAGTAAATAAGAACTCCCCTGACTACTTGAGTAGAAACATAACCGCAGACATAGCCGGAAAACTTTAAATTCAAATTCTAGCTCTAATTTTTACAGTTTGCTTGACCATAGGAAACTGAATCAGGACTATAATTTTCTTCATTAATAAATAATAATTATGCTTACCTTAGTAATTCAGAATATTAAGTGAAAATAATATTGTCTCCTTTTATTTTGTAAATCCTTATAGAAGCACTTTAATGTCTTATAAATTTCTATGGAATATAAATGATAGTTGATTTCACATAATAATAGAAATGTTGGCAGCAGAGGAGCAGCAGTCTGGCCTACCTTGTATCTGCCACACACTACAGGCTGCAGTTGATTAGCAAAAAACACAGTCCCCAAATATGAACACAGTTGAGTGGGTGGAGAAAAAAGTATCAATTAAGTTGATGGTATATAAAGTATAATGGAAATTACATATGACAAATAAGGTGGTTTTCTGCCTTTTTTTTTTTTTTTTTTTTGGTTATCTAGCATCCCATTCTTTCCTGGTAAAATCTCTGTTGTGTGAGCTTTGGAGCCCTGCTTCCTCCTGGGGAAGTTAAAAAGGAAGCAGAGATGATTAGACTATGGGTTCTTCAGCCCTGTGGCTCAGGACCATGTTTGATGAACTCAGTGCTCTAGTGACAATTCTTAGTGTGGAGTCATTGATACTAAGCCTCTGCAACAGTTTAAATCTCATTCCACAGGTGGCAACATCTGGTGTCTGGTGGTGGTGGCACTGGACGGATGTAATGATACCTTACTGAAACTTGATAGGCATTTGTATCACTCCTAAATTGTCTCAGCAGTCCTTTACTACTTGTTAACATGAAATTTGATCTGCAAATTCTGATATAACGGTTGGGGTCATTAAGGAAGGAAATATTGACACAATGTTTTGCTTTCTTGCCAGCAAAAGCCTGCCTTCTGAAAAGTGATCATCGAATCAGTCTTGCTGACAATAATTTCAGTGTCCTCCTGGCTCTTATACAGTGTTTTGGATGCCATCTTTGGGACAAAACCTCTATTCCTGGTTCTCAGGAATCCTGCTGGCATTCAGAAGTCGGGATTTTTCACACTAACAGAGCTACATTTTGCCTATTTGTGATACCTATCTAAAATAAGCCTCACACTTGCAGAGTAAGTTTGCATTGCAAAGGTCTTTCACTTCCTGAGTTAGGTTAATTTCTAAGTATTTAATTTTTCTTGATGCTATTATGAATGCTATTTTTTCCTAATTTCTCAGTGGGTTCATTATTAGTGTACAGGTTTGCTATTGATTTCTGTGTTGATTTTTTTTTTTTTTTTTTGTACTGGGGATCGAACTCGGGTCCTTGCACTTGCACAGCAGGCGGCGAAACCACTGAGCTAAATCCCCGGCCCTGTGTGTTGATTTTGTATCCCACTACATTACTGAATTTTGCTATTAATTCTAAGAATCTTTTGGTGGATTTTTTTGGGGTCTTCTACCTAGAGGATCATGTTATCTGCAAATCATGATAATTTGGCTTCTTTTTTCATATACATACTGCATTTATTTCTTTTTCTTGCCTGATTGCATTCACTAACATTTCAAGTACTGTGTTGAACAGGACCAGTCATAGTGGACATCCTTGCCTGTTCCTGATTTTAGAGGGAAAGATTTCATTTTTTATTTTTTATTTAATTTTATAGGTTTTTTCTTTTTTTGTTGTTGTTGGTATCAGGGATTGAACTTGAGACCTTGTGCTTGCAAGGCAGGTGGCAGAACCACTGAGCTAAATCCCCGGCCCAAAGATTTCATTTTTACCATTTACTATGATGTAGGTTTTTCATAAAGGGCTTTATCAGATTGAGATAAAGTCTTTCTACAGTTATTTTCTTCAGTGCTTTTATCATGAAAGGATGTTGAATTATGTCAGAGGCTTTTTCTGCATCTACTGAGATGATCATATGTGATGGATTACTTTTATTGATTTGCATGTATTGAACCATCCTTGCATCTCTGGGATCACTAGGATGAAGCCTACTTGGTCATGATGTATGACCTTTTTGATGATTCATTGCATTCTGTTTGCCAATATCTTGTTAAGGGTTTTTGCATCTATTTCATTAAAGAGATTGCTCTATAGTTTTCTTTTATGGTTGGGTTCTTGTTTGGTTTTGGAATCAGGGTAATGCTAGTTCCTAGGAATAACTATGGGAGTACTCCTTCCCTTTTAATTTCATCAAAGAGCTTGAGCAGTAATGGTATTAGGGCTTCCCTAAAGTTTTTTGTAAAATTCAGCAGTGAATCCACCTGGACCTTAGCTTTGCTTAGTTGGTAGATTTTTTAAATTACTGCTTCAATATGATTGCCTGTTATTGGATTATACAGAATTTTTAAATCTGCTTGGCTCAGTTCTGGTAATTTCTATGTATCTAGGAATCTATCCATTTCTTCTAAATTCTCCAATTTATTGGCATACAGGTTTGTGAAATAGTTGTTAATATTTTTGATTTTGGCATTGTCTGTTGTGATTTCACCATTTTCATTTCTAAAACTGCATTGATTTGGTCTTTTCTCTCTTTTTCTTATTAGATTAGCTAATGGTCTATTTTGTTTATTTTTTCAAACAACCAACTCTTCTATTCATTTATTTAGTTTTAGTTTTTATAACCCTTCCTTCTACTTCAGTAGGATTTATAATTCTCACTTAAAAGAACAAAGCCATTTTAATGCATACAGATTAATATTATTTTCTAATTTCCCTCATTCATAAGTGTTTTAATTATAGCTTCAGTTTCAGAACATATAGGTTACTATTAGCAACACTGAAACATTTTGGTCTTAGGACCCTTCTGCATTCTTAGAAATTATGAAGGATTCCAAAAAGCTATTGTTTATATATATATATATATATATATATATATAAATTTATTGTATTAGAAATTAAAACTGAGAACTTTAAAAAGTATATTTGAAATCATTTTAAAATAATTTCATTATATGTCAACATGATTTTTGTGCAAAGTAACTATACAAAGTTTATTAATTTGCTCTTTTTATTGCATGTTCTTAAGGATACCATCTAACACCAAGATCCTAATCTTAGTTTTACTCAGAAAAAGACAGATTTGGTAATAATACTTTGATAGGGAAAAAGTTTTAGACAACATAGGAAGTTAAACATTAAAGTAGCTGTAGAAGCAAAATAGGTAATGTATCCCTTTAAGACTTGCTTTCCCCCATTGCTCTTGTTATTTAAAGTGAAGGTTATATGATTCTTTGATCTATAGCTGTACTATAAATAACATCTTAACTCTGAAGAACAAAGTTGCAATGCTTGGGCAAATTTGTAATATATGTGCTTTAACTGTCATATGTTAATGACTGTAATCATTAACAGAAACCATCTGTGTTTAACCATTAAACAGGAATTGGAATTTACTTACTCAACAAAGACCACTAGGGATGAGATAATGACCAAAAAGGACATAAAAGGGAAAACTGAACAAACACTGGCATGGACATTGACCGGACCAGTTTCTGGCAGTCCTGCTTGCTTGCAAGTAAAAACCTTTATTATTTTACCCAAATTCTGTGTCTCCGTGTATTTCTTTCCATGAGTTCCAGAACAACTTAGCTAAAAATTATAGAGTTCTTACTATGTCTAAGAGGGTTCTAAGCACACTGAATGTATTAACCTATGAAATCTTGACTACCATATGATAGACACTCTTATATCCATATATATGAAAAATCTGAGGAATCTAACCCAGGATCTCATAATTATGCTTGTTTAGAACAAATAGTTGTACATGTTCTTTCTTCTAAAATTACCTCAACTGAAAGTCTTTTTACATGTCTCACAAAATACGTATTTGGTATATCTAGGGTTTAGTGTTATATTGTTCACATTCCGTATTAAAAAAGGGAAATTTTCATTTTACCTAATGTCTTAATATTTTGGAAATCAACAGTTCAGTCATTTGCACACCAAAATGTGAAAATTCTACTCTTAGCTCATATAGGTAATAAAATATCTAAACCAGATCTGAACACACATTTCTTATGTGAACCTGAGAATCTATAAATAGTCATTTAAACTATAATGCAACCCTGAATTTGATTAACACTTTGGATAAATTTTCCTTTAGAAGACTCTCACATTGGATTTTCATGGAAATTTTGAGAAGGTTTCAGAGAAGGTCTTTCCATTTTTCACCTGATAAATCTGGAGTTCAAGAAGTTAAAGCATTCTCTTAATATTATGTGGAAAGGAGGTGGCTAAAAGAGGACTTTTCTGGATCCTATACAGTTCCTCCCATTGATCTACACAGTTGCTAGCAAAGTTCACACCAACCTGAGGTAATTAAGTCAAGGGCAGCAGGAATTCCAATGAGTCTGGGGAGCAGCTGGGTGCCTCTTCCACCAGGAAGAATCCCTATTGTGACTTCTGGGAAACCAACTTGAGCCTATCAGAGAGATTACAAGTAGAAAGATCATTACAGGGAGATAATACCCACTGAAGACAAGAATCCTCTTAGATTTCCTCTACCCTCAAAAAGCACTATTTCACCGAATTCATGGAGTTTCCACAGGGCAAATCACTGTATACCATCTCCTTTAAGTAACAGCATAAGCAGAGCTGTGCTGTGTTCATGTTCAAACACATTTCACATTTTTTCTCTGAAGTTACTGTGACCTGTTGCAGGCACCAAAAGGAACACCCTTCAGTAAAGCTTCCCGGGGGCTGTAAGAGACAGGAAGTACAAGAAAATGAAAGGGACCCCTACAGAGTGGGAGAGAATTTCTAGTATGACCTCTGAGAGCCCAACCTGAGCCTATCAGAGATTAAAGGGATAAAGGCCATTACAATGGGATAATGTGTTCAGTTTTCAGACAAAGTTCTCTGGATTTCTTCCACCTTCAAAAAACAGTATTTCACTGAATGCAGCAAGGGTTGCTACAGGGCAAATTAGTGTGTGTACTCTCCTTTCACAGCACAGGCAGAGTGAGGTCTTCCTGTTCTCCTGGCATATTTTTTTCTCTGAGGCTACTGTGACTTGTTGCAGACAACAAAAATAAAACTCTCTAGTAAAGCTTTCTGGACTGCTGCAAGAGGCAGAAAGCACCGAAAAAGTGAAAAGACAATCCACAGAATATGAGAGAATATTGGCAAATGATAGATGTGATGTAGGACTTTTATCTAGAATGTGTAAAGAATTTTGAAAAAGTAAAAGGACAACCAATTAAAGTTGGCAAAGAATCTGAATCTATATATACATATCTTTAAAGAAGATATACAAATAACTAATGAGCACACGAAAATATACTCAATATCATTAGACATCAATAGAGACTTCCAGTCTAAACTGCAATAACAACACCACACCCACTAGAATGAATATAGTCTTTAAAAAGGAGAAAATAACAAGTGATGGAGAGGATGTGGAAAAGACAGAATTCTCATACAATGCCAGTAGGAGTGTAAATGATGCAGACACTTTGGAAAACAATCTGGCAAGTCCTCAAAGGTTAAATACAGAGTTACCATGTGTTCCAGCAGGCCACTCCTACTATAAACCCAAGAGCAATTAAAATAGATGCCCACAGGGCTGGGGATTTAGCTCAGTAGTTCCGCCACCTGCCCCACAACTGCAACAACCCAAGTTTGATCCCCAGTACCAAAAAAGCCCCCCAAAAAACAGATGCCCACAAAAATCTTGTATGCAAATTTCCAGAGCATTGTAGCTCATAAAAACTAAAAAAATAGAAACAACACAAACATCCATCAACTGATAAATGGATAAAAAAAATATGGTATATGTGTACAGAGGAATTATTGGAAAGGAATAATGACCTGATCCATATGACAATGTAGATAAACTTTGAAAATACTATGCTAAGGAAAAGAAGCCAGTCATTCATATGAAATATGCAGTGAAATAAAATATGAACTAAGCCAGTCATTCATACAAAATCCATTCATATGAAATATGTAGATAGGTAAATCCATTGATACAGAAAGTAGATTAGTGGTTGCCTAGCTTTGGAGGAGAAGGGGTTGGAGGGTTACTGATAGATATTAAGTTTCTTTTTGAGGTGATGAATAACTCCAAAATTGACTGTGATAATTGTTGTACAACTGTTACGGCTTGTGTCTAGATGCTCCCCCGCCCAAAGCCTCATGCAGTCACAGGAGGGGCTTTTTCAGAGGTGGCTGGATCTAGAGTATGTAACCCTGGAATTGATTCATGGTGCAATACTAGGATTAAGGGCACTAGGAATAAGGGTGTGAGTGCTACCTGTCCTGAGAAGCCTGGATAAAATATAAGGGATAGAGAGAGCTGTGATTGACCCTTGTTGCTTTGCTACTTTCTGCCTGCCATGAACTGTTTCTCCTCTGTAATACCTGTCTGCCATACCACCCTACCTTGGAGCCAGCTGATTATGGACTGAAACCTCTACAAACTGTGAGCTAAATAAACCTTTCCCCCCTTTAATTTTGGGTGTTGGGTATTTTGCCTCAGCAATGAGAGAAAAGTAACCAAGACAACAACTCTGTGAATGCTATGTCATACACTTTAAATGAGTGAATTGAATGGTAGGTAAATTATATCTCGAAAAAGCTCACAAGGGGGCAAAAAAGGCCAGGCCATACCTCAATCCAGATAAGATGGTCAGCTTGAGTTCTTACCACATTGCCTTTCCTGCCCTTTAAAAGTAGCCAAAGTTCTGTTAGTCATTTATAATTGTAAAGGTAGGAAGAGGAGGCTACCTAAATGCAGTTTGTCGGGTACCCAGACTGCGATGCCAACAGCTCTGAAAGACCTTGCATATTTGAGCCTGTCTCACAGGAGCTTATTCTAACTCAATTACCACATGCATTCCTCACTGCTCATCTCTCCCCTTGACTTACTGCTCCCAACTCAGATCTCTACTCATTCTGCAGGAGGTCATGGTGAGAGGCACACAGAAGAGGTACACTTCAGGCACACAGGTGTCCTTATAAACTTTTACAAACATTAAAACACTAGAAGGAAATAATTAAATACACTATGGTACAAGTTGAGTATCCCTTATTTGGACTGCTTACAATTAGAAGTTTTTAAATTTTAATTATGGAATATTTGAATATACTCAATGAGATATCTTGGGAATGACACGTAAGTCTAAACAGTATATTTATTTATGTTTCATATGCACTTTACCCAGATTTCCAGAAGGTCATATTATACAGTATTTTAAGTATGCCTGTCTTTTGACTGTAACCCATCATGGGACACTGGGTGTGCAATTTTCCCCTTATGGTGGCATGTCCACACTTAAAAACTTTTGGAGTTTGGTGCATTTTGGGATTTTTTTTTTTTCTTTTGGTACCGGGGATCGAACTCAGGTCCTTGCATTTGCGCAGCAGGTGGCGAAACCACAGCGATAAATCCCCAGCCCAAGGTGCATTTTGGATCTTGGATTTTTGCACTAGGTACCTTCAGCCTTTATCTAGGAAGTTTGAAAATATGGTGAGTGTCTAATTTTCTTTTAAAAAAAGACTTTTGCAGTAAAAGATACATTACCATTAATCCCCCTTAAAATTCTCCCCTTCACTGTGAACACATTTATCCCATCATTTTTGTCACTTTCTGAGTCAGTTCTGGAAGCCTTCTTGCTGCCTTAATGTCCTAAATTGATTCAAAATGTTTACTTTTCATGGTCATTTTTACTTTGGGAAAGAACTAGAAATTACACAGTGCCAGATTCAGTGAATAAGTGGATGAGGATGCACCGTAATGTTTTATGTGCGTGTGTTTCTGACGGATAGTACTCAGCAGCAGCATTCACTATGTCTTCTATCACACCTCATGAAGTCACTCATAAAATAGGAAAAAGACCAGAATATAATAGAATAGAATGGAGTTCAACTTTGATAGTGATGTTAGAGCTAAGGGCAAAGGAAGAAAAGGAGCAGAGGACTCAGAATAGTAGCTGTTCACCAACTAGAATGGAAGTATTTTCATCTTAATCATACAGACTACTATGAGGCAGATTAGCATCAGTTCAGATGCCCAAGACTTGTTAATCAGGAAGTTAACCATTTAAAATGATCATCTCTGATGCTTATGATGACATTTAGTAAAGCACATCCACCCCAGGCCCCTGTGGAGCTCAGCTGTTACCTGTGCGTGGGCAATCCTGTAGTGACAGCCCAGGGCCAGCTCCAGCCCTCCTCCTAAGGCCACACCTTGGATAGCCGCCACCACGGGCTTTCCATATCTCTGAATTTCATCTACTAAAAGTCCCAGTCCTTCAGCAGAGGATATAGGGGCTTTGAAGCTGTGGATATCTGCACCTAAAGGACACAAAGACAAGGAGAAAAGAGTTTTGAGAAAGACTTGGGTTTTCTTGGTAATTTGAAGGGATTTGGTCACTGTCTAGAAGGCTCAGACCCCTTAGAGCTCTGGAGACACAAGAAAAGAACTATTCTGAGAAATAGAGAGCTAAATAAGAGAACAGTCTTCAAACAGTCACCAGAAATCCTATAACCTGTGAAGATCTGTCTTTCCATGTGGTAGGTAGCAACTCTATCTAGAGGCAAACTTAGAAGTACAGAGAAGAGGAATAGTTCTTAGCCAAAGACCATCATTTTAACATTGACTCTGCCCCTCTCATTTTTTACATGACCTTGTTCATCATGGCAACTTAACCCCATATCTTTGTTAAGAGCACAAGTCGGGCTGGGGATTTAGCTCAGTGGTTCTGGCGCCTGCCTCCAAAGCACAAGGTCCCAAGTTCGATCCCCAGTACCAAAAAAAAAAAAAGAGCACACGTCATTACAATATAAAATTTCAGGGTAACTGCATATATATTTGTAATTTGTGTTAATCAACTAGCTTAGAATAAGTTCTTGATAGGTTTTTATGATTAATAAAAATAAAATATTTCTTGCTTATCCTAATAAAAATAACATAGGTATTCCAGAAAATCTGAAACATGCACAAAGTTATAAGAAACATGAGGATCATTCAAACTATTATCACGCAGAAATAATATATTTTGGTGAATTCTTAGTTTTCCCTCATATAAAATTTTTTTTTCTTTTTGGTACCAGGGACCAAACTCTGGTCTTTGCGCTTGCAAGGCAGGCAGCAGAACCACTGAGCTAAATCCCCGGCCCGCTCACATAAATATTTTGTATGTGTGACCTTGAGTAAGTTTTTTGTTGCAATATCTATCTCAAATGACTTATATAAGAATTAATTAAAAATTTAATATATATTTTTAATATTGACAGCATACTACAAAATATTTTCATATGACATTACGTGGAGTGACTTTTTTCTCATAGCATTATCTCTTGTTTGGATCAGTAACCTTGGCACAAGTTTAAAAAATTAATCCATGTTTACCTGTTTCTTTTTGCATCCCTTTTCAATCTAGGAACTACACTATTGGGGACTTTTGAAACATTATTGGAAACCTTTGTAGTAGGCTTTAGTTTTTTTTCTTACCCCTTTTCTTCATTATAGAAGTGATAGATGAAAACAGTTTTTTGTTTTTGTTTTTGTTTTTGAGACAGGGTCTCACTATGTAGTTTAGCCTGGGTTTGAACTCACTATGTAGCCTAGGCTGGCCTCAACCTCACAGCAATCCTGCCTCAGTTTCCCAAATACTGGAATTACAGGTGTGCATCACCACACTCAGCTTTCTATTTCTTCTTAAGTCAATCTTGTTAAGTTGTATTTGTCTCCTGGCTCATAATATTTTCACTATGTTTTTTAGTAACAGCAGTATCTGGAGTGATAATTTTTGGTAACTCGTCATATGCATTGTTAGCTCTTTGTTTTGTTTTTTTACCTTGATCTCTCTATAATTTTATTAGTCTCTTCAAAGAACTAACTTTAACATTGTTGTTCCTCTTGATTCACATTAATTTCCCCTTATTATTTCTTTCCTTCTATATTTTTGAGTATATTTTATTTTTGGGGTTTTACTGTTGTTTTGGAGTAGGGTTTTTTGCCAATTTTATCATATAGATGCTTAGCTCATTTTCAGCTTCTTTTCTTTTCTAGTATAGTCTTTTAAAGCTACACCTTTCCTGGTAAGTTTTACTTAATTTCATCCCCTTGAGTTTCATATTTTATGTTTTCATTGTCATTGAATTCTAAATATTTTCTAAGTTCCATTATGATTTCTGTTTTGTTTAATAGGTTCAGATATTGATTTAATTTATAAACACATAAAGATTTCCTGGTTTTTTTTTTAGATTTCTAGTTTAATTTCATTGTCAGGGAATATATTCTAAATGAAGTTTATTGAGACAAGCATTTTCCCCCTGTGGTGTTGGAGACTGAACCAGGGGCCTTGAGTATACTAGTCACGCACTCTACTGCTGAGCTATATCCCAAGCCCAACAACACAAGCTTTTATCTTCCAGTATCTGGTCAATTTTTCTGTGTTACAGATGCATCTGAGAAGAATATCTATTTTCCAAAGTTGGTGTGTACCATTATGGATATTCTCAGTAAGTCTAGTTTGATAAATCCTTATGTGTTTCTAGAAGAATACAGTGGTACCTCCATTCACAAACTTAATTAGTTCCACAATTCTGGGGAAGATGGGCGCAATTGTGTTCATCACCAGACGGGGAGTACGTGAACAGAAGCAAAATTTTGCCAAACACTTCTGTTTGCGAACCAAACTGTTTGCAAACAGAAGTGTCCATGAACTGAGGTATTACTATTATTTTTTGAGGCCATGAATCTAATTACATTCTATCTTCTACCTCTATCTTACAAAAAAAAAAAGACAAGTTCACTGTAATTCTGATCCCCTTTTCATTGCCCTAAAGTCATCAGTTTGTGTAGCCAACCTTAACATTCCAGAGAGTGAGGAAGTCATTTCATAGGTGGTTAATCCTTAGCACATTATTTTAATCTCTGAAGCTCAGCCTTTTGATCTGCAAATGGAGACTGTAGGATTTACTGAGGATTAAAATAATGTGTGCCACATTTACTACTAATAAATGAATAACCTACCAGTACCTCACATAGCAGGCAAGATGAATGCTGATTATTATAGCAATTAACATTTTTGTATTTATTGACATGAGTCCAACAGCTGAGTCTTTCCAGGCTACCTTTAACATACATTAAATACCTCTGGCTACAGAGGAAGCTCTGGGAGGGTGGAGGAGATTATGCAGAGAAGGTATACAGATATTATGACATCAAACCTGGCAATAACTGCCCTCCAAAGGCAAACCCAATATAAAACAGATGGAGGCCAGTCTTCTCTGAACTTCTCTTGTGATGGATCCATCCCCTTCTCCACAAGGATTCTCATTTCCACTGTCTTCTGCCTTATCCAGTACCCATACTAAGTTATAACCCACAGGGACAGCTAGTGCAGTATCGATCTCAGTCTATGGCTGGATTCTAGTGCTAGTGAGAGAGGGTTAGATACTAGTTACCTGCACAAAAGTTGCCATCTGCTCCAGAAATCACAATGGCTTTTATTGTATTGTCCAATGCAGCTTTCTTTAGTCCCTCTCTTATTCCACGGATTACAGGCAAACTAAAAGAAATTATAAAGCAAGTTAGTTAGAATTAAGTTTCTATCACCTCAGAGTTTTCCTTTTCTTCATAATGAAAAATGAAACATATACATAGTGGGTAAAAACTGTAGATACATACCATTAAAGCTTTCGCTCATTTGTTCAACAAATGTATCCACTGTGAATGAAGCACTGAGTTGATTAAATAAATCCACGAAAGGAATGTTATTTTCCTGCACTCTGCTTTAATTTTGAATACTTAGAATCTGTACTAGCCAATTTAAAAATATTACCATACATCTATGTACAGTGCAAGGGGTTATCCGATAATGAACACAACTATCAAGTAAGGCGATGAAGATGAGTTCTTTACTACAGGTACAAAGAAAGTGATGTAGAGGATCTGATGGGGCCAAAAGTACTTTCCATTTGTCATAATGGCAAAATAGAAGAAAAGTAGAGGAGAAACAGTCTACAAGATGTGACAGTCTACTAGTTAACTCAAATATCCATTCCTCTCACCTTCAAAGTATTAAGCCATGTGGTTTGTTTTTAGACAGATGCATGATATTCCAAAATAAGGACTATATTTCCCACTCTACTTGAAAGTAAGGTTGACCCAAGGCTCTAGGTGCTGACCAATAGGATGGAAGCATATTTGGTATATACAACTTTCTGGAAGAGTCTTCAAAGGACTGGGTGTGCTTTGGCCTTTTTCATTCCTCCCTACTCCTGGCAGAAATGTAGACATGATAGGTAAACTGGAAGGAGCCATCTTAGATACAAAAGCAGAAGCCATTTATTCAGATGGTAGAGCAAAAAAGACAGAATTAGGGTCCCTGATGATTGTGGAGCAGCCAAACCAACTGAGGACATTACTGTGAGAGAAATTAATGTTTTACAGTTTAATTCATTGTTCCTCTGAGGTCTGGAGGTTTGTTTTTGTCACCGACAGTCAAACCTAATCCTGCCTAAATTAGGAGGTAAAGGCAAGGAGAAGGAAAGACAACATCTTCAACAGTAGATTTTGCTATGCTTCTGTATGTGAGGGTTTCATCCACAGAAGAGATGGCTAAAGGCAAAATCAAATAAGTCTACAGTAGACACAGAAAAAGAGAGCTGAGGGCAGTTTCTCTGAATATGTCTTCATTTAAGAAGTAGGAGAGGCTCAGAAAAGTGACCTGTTCTGAGCAAGGGAACTCAGTCACAAAGACAAAAGAGAAGAGAACTTGCCAAGAAGCAGGGGACTAATAGGAACAAGCGAAGGTAAAGGAGAATTTAAGAAAACCAATGAAGAACCTGAGCCTGATGGTCCATGCATGCAATCCTAGCACTTAAACGGCTGAGGCAGGAAGATTGCTGCAAGTTTGAGGCCAGCCTGACATTGATGGTGAGTTCAAGGTCAGCCTGAACTACACAGGGAGAGCCTGCCCCCCCAAAAAAGAAGAGGAAAGAAGGAAGAAAAGAAATCCGATAAAGGAATGTTGAAAAGAAAAGTGATGGAAGTAGTACAAAAAGAACAACAGGCTGAGGAAATCTTCCCTCTTCACCCACTAGAGTTTGGGGAGCGGTAAAAAATAAAATAACAAAGACCCAGGAAATCTTTGATGCTGTAGTTAAGAGCACATAAGAGGCACCCAAGCTGGGGCACACTTCCTTTAAAAATCCAAAAGTCTGGGCTGGGGATTCAGCTCAGTGGTTCCGCTGCCTGCCTCGCCAGTGCAAGGTCCCAAGTTTGATCCCTGGTACCAAAAAAAACCCAATCCGAAAGCCTGATTTATCTGTGCTGTGCTGTGTTTTTTATTTCTCTGTCATCCTGACACCACTTTTCTGTTTGTGTCACCCTTTTTGTTTCTGCTGGCACAGACTTGCCCTAAGTACATCTTCCGCTGACCTCCAATAAATGTGACTTCTTTTCATTTACCACTGGGTGTACACCAGCAATTCACTGCTTGCTGCACACAAGAATCTGTTAGATCCACCACATTGTGACAGAAGCAGACTACAATCAGTTTTGCCATGGAATTCTGAATCTTCTAGATTAAATCTCAATTCTTTAGTAGACAGAGTAAAAGCAATTGTAAAACAAAACAAAGAAGAAGAAACTACTATAAAAGCCACATTGCTAAGACCAGAAACTAAGACATAAATCCTTAGAAAATAAAGGAAATACTTGTGTTGTGTATAACTTCCTTTCACCTAGTTACTTTTCACATTTTAACCTGCAGAAAATCAAACAAGAGCTCTTGCTCTCAACTGGTCAATTAGAATCCAAATCGATCGTGAAAAACAGATTCTCAAACATTACATAATATTGAGAGGAAGGAATACATAGCATCTGTGAATTGTTCCTGAACCACTACCACCCCCAGGACAGCCAAATCCTCATATACTATAGTCCATTACATAAAACAGTGGAATATAGATATAGATATAGATCTTATGCATATTATTTCTCCAGCACTTGTAACAAATTAACATAAATGCTATATGGTAACTACAAGAAAAAAAGAAAAAGACTATATATTCAAGACACAACCATCCCAGTCTAACTAACTACACTTTCCATCACCAGTGGTTAGGGTGGATATGAACCCAGGGTACAGAGGGCCATTCTATTGCCTTCTGAGTACCAAGTAGCTGCAAAATGACTCCAAATTAGCTCCATCAGTACCACTGAGTGCAAGAGAAGGGTTTTCCCATTCTGCCCAGCCCTTTTGTGCTTTATTCACCACAGCCAAATAGGAAACTTGTATGTACGTGTCTTTATTTCTTATGTAAAATATGAAGTTTCTAACTATGTGAATTATAGTTTTTTGGGGTTTTTTTTACATGCATGATGTTTTATTCTTTGAAGAATGGTTCTAAAACATCACACTAAGGCTGAAAAACAAAGTTTGAGGTAAACAGTTTTGAGGATGAATTATAACACATGTAATGCTTGTTCATTCTAAGGAATCCTGATCTTGGAGCTTATGATGTACCAGTTGGCAGTAGCACCCACGTTTCCCAGAGCTGGTCATTATTTTTCTGTTTGCATAGGCTTCTTCTCATTAGCTGCCTTCTGCTTTTGTTGCATGATCTCAGAGTCCCTCTGCTTTCTTTGAGAAGTAGTCAAGCTATCCTCTTTTCCTTCTCCCTTGCTAATTTCTTGGGTTTTCTGCATATTCTTCTGTCGGGCAAGTTCTCGTTGATTACCACTGGCCATGCCGACCACCCGGCGGAGCCTAGAGGACTCAGACAAGCAACGGTTTCCTCGCATGCCCAGCAGCTGCTGCCACCTGTCAATCTGGAAGGCCGAGCATGAATTATAATTTTTTAAAAGCATGAAAGCCGCTCTTCTAGACACAGGCTTAGTAATCAGTCATGTAGTGCACCTCAAAGAGGGCTGACATTCATCTGAATGGAAGGAAATGTGACTCGCTAAACTAGCGATAAAGGCTTTCAACTATTCTTGGGATTAAAAAATGAAAATAAGCATATCTCTATGAGCTATGAAAAGATAACCTCCCAATAAAATTAGAAATAGAAAGAGGAAAGGAAGGAATGAAGGAAGCATATCTATGAAGCAATATTTTTTTTAAAAAAATTGGGGAACCTGTTGTATTTGATCTGGGATGTAGTCAAACCTGTTTTAGTACACAGAGTAAATTTTAAAATAAACAACAAACTACTGTAAGGGTCATATTGTTAAGACCAGCAACTATGAGACAAAACTTTAGGGAGAGACGGAGCTGATAATTACGTTTCATCTAGTCACTTTTCACCTCATAACTTAGAGAAAATCACACAAAACCTCTTGCTTTTGACCAGTTAATTAGAAATCAAGTCTCACCATGAAAAAACACTCAGAATCATTACATAATAACAAGAACTCTAAAAAGCATACACAGTCATTCCTCCATCTGTGGGAAATTGGCTTCAAGACCTTCTATTTTCCCCACTGGGATACCAGAATCCTCATATTCTCTATTCTATGAAATAGCGGAGTATTTGTATATAACTGATTCTTACCACCGTTTCTAGGACATTTACAGTGTCTCTATCTAATGTAAATGTTATCTAAAAAAAATAGTTGTTGCACTGCATCACTTAGGAGAAAATGATATGAAAGAGAAAGGACTCTACATGTGCATTAGAGACCCAAGCATCCTGGACCTAATTAGATTTTCTGCTCATGGTTGGTTGAATGGCAGATATGGAATCCAGGGATTCAGAAGGCTAACTGTTTTTCCTTCTTGGTAAAAGATGGCTGCAAAGTGAGCTAGAATTAGCTCAATCATTGCCACTGAGGAGGAGACTGGCTTTTCCTATCTCAAACAACACTTCCTGCTTTATGCTCATGTTAATTTTGAAAAATTCAAAAGCAGGCACAAAAGGAAAATGAAAATGGCTGTAAGAGGTACAGCTTTACTAGCTTTTGAGGACGGAGAGGACCACAGCCTCATAGCAGGATCAAGAAACTATATTCTCCCTCTTCATACAACCAGGCATAGGGAATGGAATCTGGGGAAGAAATAACATTTCTTGAGTGCTGACCACAGCTTTTCAGCTTCTTGGACCTTAGCAGGCCTCAAGCATTTTGACAGCTTTTTTTTCTAAACCAAAGTTAAATCAACTGTGTGCATTAATACTGGAATTTTTCAGTCAAAGAAACGGAAGAGAAAATAAACTATGCCAAACTAGACCTAGGATAGGGTGGTTTCAGGAAACTTAGTTTTCAGTTACACAGTAGTATGTATCTGCACGTATGTGTCTTCAGTTGTTATATAGAGCATGAGGCTTCTTACTATGTAGATTCCAGTTTTAAAACAATGTGAAAGCCATTGTTTTAGAGACAGGCCTACTAATCAGCCATACTCTACACTTATAAGGAGGGTTAATATTCCAATGAATTAAAGGAACTATTTGGACAGAAAACAATTATTCAAATAAGATCACCCAGTGATTAGATATTATTGCCTCTCTGCCACGCCCATGTAAATAGACATAGCAGGAAAAGGGAGAAAGGAAGGAAAAGTATAAAACAAGATTAAAAAATCAGGAACATACTACACTAGAGGAACAAGTTGGGATGTGGTAAAGTCTCTATTCTTTAACATACAGGGTAAACTAAGTAAAGTGGCACATGCCTCTAGTCCCAGCTCTTTGGGAGGCTGGGGCTAAGGATCCTAAGTTCAAGGCCAGTCTATGCAATTTAGTGAGACTGTCTCAAACAAACAAACTAAAAACTAGGGTAAAAAGTCCTCAGGGAATAAAAGAGATAACATGCCTTAGTGCACCATTAATACCTTTCACTTACTTTTCACCTTGTATCCTAGAGGCAATCAAACACAACCTTTGGCTTTTCAGTAGTTAATGAGAAATCATGTCTGATCATGGAAACAGATTCTGAACCATTACATAATAATGAGAAGTCCAATGAGCACATGAAGTTGTCCTTTACTATCTATGAGGAATTGGTTTCAGGATATCCCCTTTGCCCAGGATACCAAAACTCTCACATGTTCCAGTGTATTACATAAAATAGTAGAATATTTACATATAACCTATGCATATCATCATCTCTAGAATACTTATAATACTTGATAAAAACGTAAGTGCTGTGTAATAAATAGTTGCTACACTGCATTGTTTAGGGGGTAATCACAAGAAAAAGAGACTCTACATGTTTATTAGAGACCCAGCCATCATGGACCTAACTATACTTAGTGCCTATGGTTGACTGAATGGCAAATGTGGAACTCAGGGATACTGAGGCCTGACTATATATCCTTTTAGATAAAAGATAGCTAGAAAATGAGTTGAAATTAGATCAGTTACCCCCTCTGAGAAAACTGTCTTTTCCCATTCCAGCCAACTCCTCTCATTTTATATAGGTTCTTGTTAATTTTGAAAAACTCAAAAATAGGCACACAGAAGGAAAGAGAGAGGGAGGGCGGGGAGAGGGGGAGGGAGGGAGGATAACTGAAACAGATGAAGCTTTACTAGCTTCTGCAGATGGAGAGGACCACAGCCTCGCAGCAAGGAAAAGATGACAGGAACTGAGAAAGGGTTTTCTCCCCCTTACCACAGCCACGGGTGGAGAATGGGGAGAAAATGACATTTCTTGAGTGCAGACAGTAGCTCTTTAGTTTCTTTGACCACAGCAGTCTTTTCATTTTTGACAGCTTGTTTATTAAACCAAAGTTCATCAAATCAAATTTGTGGCTTGTGACTTTCTCAATCAAAAAAATCGGAAAGAATATGCCAAACTATGTAGCATGTACAGATATGTTTAGTTTCAGGAAACTTTGTTAAACATTTGTTTTATCTTCAGCTGTTATGTGAAATACAAGGTTTCTTGGTATGTGGATTAAGTTTTTTAAAAGTGTGAAATCAAGTGTTCTGGAAACAGGTCTCTTGTAATTAGCCATATTCTACACTTACAAAGAGGGTTGACATTCATCTGAATGGAAGGAAACATGGCTGACTAAACTAGCAATGAAAGGAAACTATTTGACTGGGAAAATTATTTAAATAAGTGTATTTCAGTAATCTAGAAAGAGGTAACTTGCTACATAAAATCAGAAATAGGAAGAGGAAAAGGAAAGAAAAGCATTAAAAAATTGAGATACTTGTTCACTAAATGAACCAGCTAGGGTACAGTAAAATATCTATTCTTTAGTATTCTGGGTAACAATATCATAAAAACAAACTATAAACTCCTGTAAGAGCCACATTAAGACCATCAATGATGAGTCAAAACCTCAGGGAATATTGGAGACACCTGTCCTGTGTATAGTAATCACCTTTCAGCTAGTGACTTTTTACCTCTTAACCTAGAAGATATCAGACAAAACCTGTTGCTTTTGACTGGTTAATTTGACTGAACATAAAACACATTTTGGACCATCATGTAATACTGAGAATTGTGGAAAGTATATGTAGTCATCCCTCAGTATCTGTTGGGAATTGGTTCCAGAATACATCTCCTCCTGCCATGATACCAAAAGCTCTAGTCTGTTATAGAAAATACTGGAGTATTTACATATGACCTATGAACATCATCATCTCTAAACTACCTTCAATACCCAATAAAACAAAAATGCTAAAAAAACATAGTAATTGTATTGTTTAGGGCATAATGACAAGAAACAAAAAGACGCTACATGTTCTTTAGAGACCCTAGCATCCTGAACTTCACTATGTTTTCTATTCATGGTTTGTTGAATAGAAATGAGGGATACAGAGGTAACTATGTTCTCTTTGGTTAAAGAATGGCTGTTTTCACTTATTCAAGCCATGCATCCTACTCTTGCTGGAAAAATCACTGTCATGTTGTTCAATATTGATAATTCAGAACTTCTGCACATTCTTGGGTTTCCAGAGTCTCCATTCTAAGGCTGGTGAAACCGTAGCTGTACTACAAGCCCATGCTAGGAGGCTGCCTAAAAAGCAGTTGACAATGTCACTGTGCTAGCTGTTTAAAATTGATCAGAGACCAAGAAAAGAAACTCCTGCTTCACTGAAGAAAGATATCTAAACAGCAAAAAACTTTAAATATGAAAATATTACAAAATATAAAATAAAAAGGGGTCGGGGATTTAGCTCAGTGGTTTTGTTGCCTGCTGCGCAAGTGCAAGGACCCAAGTTCAAACCCCAGTAAAAAAAAAAAAAAAAAAATATATATATATATATATAATAAAAAGGAAACTTTGAACCTTGTGTACCAAGCTAATGCCAGGTCTAGCAAAAAATGCCCATCATAGAGTACTTGATTTAAAAGCTACCAAAAAATCCTCACAGAAATAGTAAAATTTAAAAACAAATGAATATTTTAGAGGCCCTAGGAGAAGAATATTCAGCAAAGTACAAAAATTTAAAGCATCCTTTTCTTTAATCTTGTCATTCTTCAGTGTAGACTAGCTCAGGATGTTAGTTCTGTTTTAAGTAGCAGAACTGATAACTTAAACAACTTGGATTATAAAATTCTTGCTTTAATAAAAATTTCCTGAACAGTGAACTGTTTAATAGGCTTATTCAGACATGGATCCTGTAGGAAAACATACAGGCTCTGAGATTTAGAATAAATCAGAAAAAATAATTTTGCATTTCTGGTCAAGGAACAGTTCTGCTTTACTCTTTGCCCTGGAATTCACTGGGATGTATTTATTTTCAGTGCTGGGGATGAACTCAGAGCCATGTGAATGCAAGGCCAACACTGTACCTCTTAGCTACACTCCCAGTCCCTTACTTTATTTTAAATACATGTTTAACCACTTTACAGCCTGATTCCTAAAGCATTTAGCCATAGATCAACAGAGCAGCATACAGTCAAGATTGGGGCTTGAGGCTGGATGAGGGTCCAGCCTTGTACTAAGTCATGACCTTTGGAACTGAAAGTTCTTCCGAGAAGCCAAGTTCCAAACAAGCAAAGGGTTCAGCACGAAGATGCCATCCACTGGCCCTACTACAGCCCAGTTCCTCCGCTTATTAGCCATCAGTCAGCCTCTGCTTCCTGACCAGTCCAAAGCAGTCAAATGCTTCCCCACACAGTTGAAGATCTCATAGTACAGTGATACATGCACACCCATGTTTATAATAATGCAACTTATAATAGCTAAATCTTGGAAGCAGCCTATATGTCCATCAACAGATGAATAGATAAAGAAAAAGTGGTATTTACACACAAAGGAGTACTATTCTGCCATAAAGAAGGATAAACTTCAGTCACTTGTAGGAAAATGGATGCACCTTGAGACTGTAATGTTAAGTGAAATACAACAGGCACACAAGCTTAAATGTCACGTGGTTTCTCTTATATGAGAATCCCAAATTATAAATAAAGAGCAAAGTAAAAGGTAGATAGTAGGAAGTAGGGAGATAGATCTTTGTCAAATTGGAAGAGGATCAAGAGATGGTGGGAGGGGGGGAAATGGGGGAGAGAAAGGGAATGAAAAAAGGAATTAAGATGTGTTATGTACAGGTACCAACTCCACACGAGGAGTGTAAACATGTACTAATAAAAAATAGATTAAAAAAGAAAGGAAGAGGCCCTGGCATAAACCAGTTGCTCCGTCAGCGTCTTCAGTTGCAACCAGCAGGGGGAGCCAAAGCCGCCGCGTCCTGCACGATCCCGCTGTGCCCGGAGCTGCACGGAGGGGATCAAGACATTTACCTGATCGTGTTTACCGGCGGGTTTCGGAGGCGGATCAGCGCCAGCGAGTGGGGCAGCCGAAGGTACTCAGCCATCTTTCTCTGTCGCCGTGGCGCCTCCGTCTCTCTCCCGGAGGCTCAGTCACTTTTCCGCGTGCAGCCAGGAGGGGCGGCGCCCGTTGGGCCAATCGGAACCGGGCACCGCTTCCCGGGCTCCACCCCCCCCCCCCCCCGCCAACACACACCCGGGCTCTTCTCCCAGGTGTCAGCCCCGCCCTCCTCCTCTGGGTTACCCTCCACCTAGATTACCTTCCTCTAGATTACCACAGACCTCAGAGGCGACCCTGGAAAGCCGGTGGGAATGACTTCCAGCTTTGCGACTCCCTGGAACACAGGCAGCCGTTTCTTGGGACAAGTTCTGGGTTCACGGAGGCCGGCAAGCTGTCCTGGTCACAGTGTTCATCCTTGGGACCTTTGTGGACAGGGACAGTCACCCAAGCCAGATGATGCACGTCAGACGAGGCTCGTCTGAAGCACAGGCACCAAACATCACGCTTTTCGCCCAAAGGAGGACTGCCAGAATCAACCAAGTATTTACAAAACAGTCTTCTCCCAAGTCCTACAATATGTGGCAGCCTAGAACACCTATGAGCTCCTTGTCTCCCCGGTCCTGCTCTCTTTCTTCTTTTGTCCCACCTCAGGGTTGGGATTTCTAGTCCTTTCACTGATCCATGAACTGAGCACTTACTCTGTGCTGGAACTACATTAGAGACTAAAGACAACAAGGCCCAGTCCCTTCCCTCCAAAAGTTCAGGTGGGACGAGGTTCTTCTAAACGTGCACGGCCTCCAGTGGTCCCCACAGTCCATCAGGAGGCCAGAAGGCAGTCTGGAAGTTTCTAAGAAAAAAATATATGCCGGGTGTTGTGGTACACATCTGTAATCTCAGCACTTGGGAGGCCGAGGCAGGAGTTCCAGGACAGCCTGGGCCACGTAGTGAGTTAAAGAACAGCCTGAACTACATAGTGGACACTGTCTCAAAAAAAGAGAGAGAGAGATCTGAAAATTTTCTTTGTTGATGTTTTACAAATTTTAATAATGATTAAGGATTATCTACATTCTTACTCTTTTACCTCTGGAAAATAAAAAACAGGTTCCCACCACTAGAAAAGTACTGATTGCCCAAAAACCCTGGTGACAAGCAGCCATCAGAAACCACTCAACTAAGCAAGGACAAGGACTTCAGTTATCAAAGTTCATGGTCAAAGATGTCGGTCACCAACAGCCCAAAGCACATGCCTCTGAGTGCCGACTGCCAAGACAGCCCACGGCAGCAACAGGCTGGATAGGTTATACCAACTCCATCTAATGCCTCTGAACTCCAAACTCCAGCTTGCACAAAAGTCTCTGATACCCACACTTTTTTCTGCTTGTAGAGACTGTGCGTGACCAGTCCAGTTCTCCCTTCCTACAAGAAGCAATAAATTGAACTCTCTTTTCCTTCAGGTACTGGGATAAGGGAACAGCTCTGCCATGGCATCCTAATAGGCAGGCCATCTCCAACAAGAGCAAAAAGGCCAGACACAATAGCTCTGAATGGTCTGGAATTCCTCGGAAGCAGGGGCAGATAATAAGCATGGCATGGAGATGTCCTGAAATACTGTCTCATCCCTACCTTGCAGGAGTCTGGCATGAGCCATTTCTCATCCATCTCCCTGGTTTCAGTTGCAGGCACAACTTTCTGCCTTGTGGTCCCACCTTAAGGTACAGCTGCAAGCTTCTGTGCAAATCTATAAAACTGCAGTTCCTTGAACTTGGCTCCTCAACCAGGCAGAGGCCAGGATGAGGCAAGTGCAGCACCTGGTGACCATTTTCTCTTGAGGTGTTTCAGTGCTGACCCTGTCTTGCTCCTCAATCCTGACATCTGCCAGTGGTCCCTCTTGTAGGTATCACACTGTAGGATTAGGGACATGGGGGCAATAGCATGCTGATTTTTCCTTTGCTGTGTACATAATAAACTATCCACATTCTTTTGGACTCTGTACTTTCTGGATTTATAGTGTTATGACAAGCTGATTTACCAGGTGCTAGCACTGCTGCTGCTTATAGATTCCTTGACCATTTGAGTCTCTTGATCACTGATAGGCATTTTTATATTTGTACTTTATCTTGTTATTTAATTGTCTCAATAAGGATTGAGAGTCATCAAGGCACAATTGCTCTTGGCTAAGCAGTTCCTTGCCATTTGTATGTTACTGCTTTTGCTTGTTAGGTGCACTGGTTTCACTGTTCCAAAGCTGGCTGACATTTCAGGGGAAAAGCTGCTCAAAGAAGTGTTTGAGGACCGAGGATTTAGTTCTGTGGTTCTGGCGCCTGCCTTGAAAGCCCAAAGTCCTGAGTTTGATCCCTGGTACCAAAAAAAAGTGAAGTATTTGAGATGAGAGATGTGACAAAAAGAATTTCTCCATTATACCAATAATACCAGTGATGATAGTTTGTGTGACTTAAATAGCTTGTTCAAGGGTTAAATGTGGCGCTTTGGGGATTCTGGGTGTGTTCAGTGTCTAATGATGGAAATAAGTCATCAGGATTCTTAAAGAAAACTCAACGTGGCAAAAATGGCTCAGTCACGTGTTCATCTTCTCCAGGTGAAAGAAGTCAGCAATCGTTGGTGCATTGTTCAGCATCAAGTTGGGGATTAACCTTTAACATGTGGACTTTTGGGGGATATTTCAGATCCAAACTAGAACACTGCAACCACATCTGAGCTGAACGCAGCCAAAAATTGCACTGAGAATACATTCACTTCTATCCATGTTTCGACTTCACAGCTTTGCCGTGAGCTCAGCTTATTACTGGGTTTGTAAGTCATTTTTCATGATGTATATCATCTCTGACAGTAACTTTCATGGCCCCTGGCCTTCTCCTAAATACAGTTTCATTTCTTATGGAAAGTACCATTGGGCCGTATTTCCCAAACCACTTTCTCAGTTTTTCACCATGTTATTTTACTGGAAAGAGAACATCTAATTGCTAATGATCAGCTCTTCCACTTTTTCTGCCAACTGACACGATGTACAAAGAGGCTACAGAGACACAAGTCTAATAATGCCCCAGGTTTAGTCTGGCTTTCCTTCTAAAACAGGAAAGCCTCAGCAACATTCCTGGCAGGATTACTGGTCTGTTGCTCTCTGAATGCTTCTATCGGTGGGCATACCAGGTCTCTGCATGTTTAAAAAAATGACTGTGTTCCTCGGGATCTTCCTGTCTCTGATTCTACTTTCATTTTCAGAACTACAAATTCAGTCTCCTTTAATGGAACATTAAACAATTAAAGACGCAAACAAGTCCATCCAAAGCTGCCTTTCTTAGGCGCTTTCTCAGATAAACTTTCTCACATGAAAAGGTATTTTTAGCTGTCGTTGCTTCTTCAGGAATCTCCTCCAACCATCAGTGGGCCTTTTACCTAGCATCCACTTCCTGTGTTCTGCACCTGTCAGCAATCTGGTCTTATTCGTGTTTCCTTAACTCATGTTTGTGCTTTCCTTTTTCTTAACCATAATTACCTTTCTTCTTTTTAAATTTCAAGTAATGTGCTCTGTTTTAATAAGAGTAATTTTTATTGATGTAAACTTATATACCATATAATTCGCCTTTAAAGTGTACAACTGAGTGACTTTTTAGTATAAGCAACCATCCCAACTAATTTTAGAATATTTTAAGACCTCCAAAAATAGTCCCATACCCATCTATCTCCAGGATACATCATTTTTTGTGGATTTGCCTATTCTAGATATTTTATTTTGTGGGTATATAATTGGAACCAGAAAATATGTAGCCCATTGTGCCTTGCTACTTTCACTTAGTATAATGTTTTCAAGTTTTATTCACATGGTAGCATCCATTAGTGCTTCATTCCCTTTTCTAGCTAAGTAATATTTCATTATACAAATAAACTGAACTCACTATGTTTATCCATTCACCCATTGATGGGTAGTTGAGTAGTTTTTTGGCAACTGTGAATAATCCTGATACAAACATTTCATGTCCAAGTTTATGCATGAATTTTTATTTATTTTGAGTATATCTCTAGGAGTATAATTGATGGGTCTATATTTAACTTTTTGAGGAACTGTAGATACTGTAGATTGGTAAGTTTCATATTACTATCTCATGAAATGTTGGAACAACTAATTAAGGAGACAATTTATGAAAAGGAACTTACACTCATCAGAAGTTATATTGTGTTCACCAAGGACAAGCTAAGTCTATAAGTTTTATTTCATTGTTTGAGAGGATTAATGCATCAGAAGACCAGAGAAGGGTTGTGTTTTGATTCCTAAGGAGGATTTCACAGTATCAGATAGGGGAACCCTAGCGGGTGTGATGTTAGTTATTTGATAACCATGTTTTATGAGGACATATTTGACTGATAACAGCGTTACTGAGTAGTTATATGGGCTAGGTACTGCTAACAAAATGTGAGCAATGGTATGTGCCTTTGTATTGCTTGCACAATAGTTCTTGACTGAGGGATACGTAAAAAGAAGAATGCATTTTGCAAATGGACACATCTGGCATTTACCTCTAGGAGATTCTGAGTTTGGTGGATCCAGCAGTTTAAGAAAGCTCCCCAGGGAATTCTAAAGCATAGCCTTGCTAAGAAACTCTCAGAAGGGAAGCTTTTCGGCACTATTCTTGGCCTCACTTTGCCTTGAACTACATAAGTTTCTAAGCTGAGCAACAATGTCAGAATGATTTCAGATATATGTATAATATAATTGCTCACATTTTAATAGCATTAAATGAAGGAAGCTGTCAAGGAAATTTCCTGATATTGAAATTGATTAACAGATTGATACAGCTGGATTCTATATGAATTTGTATCTGCATTAGTGGTCACGAATACTCTAATTTTCTCCCCTCCCTATCCATGCATTTGCCTGCCTGTGGCCAATAAAATGTTGGCAGGAGGGGAGATTAAGAGTCAATCCATGCATTACTAGATAGTGTTTCCTTTGGCTTGGCCAATAGCAATGTTTCAGGCAGTAGTTGCATGGTCAGCCTGGTTTCTCAAGTGACTACACTTGAACAGAGCTTCCTTCCCTGCAGATCTTAGTGGTCTTATGGCATGAATAAGAATACAGCATGAATAAGAGTTGTTTTAAGACACTGAGGATACTGATACAGGATTCTAGGGTGAGTTTATAATGGCATGAAATTTAATGTTAAATAATGTAAAGCC